TCTCTCTCTCTCTCTCTCTCTCTCTCTCTCTCTCTCTTTCTCCTCTCTCTCTTTGTCTCACACTCACTATCCATCTGTCTAGCACCCCCTCTTTCTAATCTGTCTTTGAAATTTTTGTTGCAGCTTATAATTTGTTTTCAGGTGCACGCCGCGGCGATCGGATCCCATAATTTTCGTTCCCCGTGTGTATTTGCTCGCTCAATTAACAGTGCACCCCTGTAAGCACGCGATCGGACGTAACCCGGTACGATATCTCGAAACGGGAAACCCGACGCGGCCCGGTTAGCCGCGTTATGTCGATTAAAAAACAACAGAAAAAGCACAAGAGAATCAGGAGGCAAAGCCGCCGATTTCGTCCATCTTCGATTTTCCGACAGCGTCCACCTCGAAAACCAATTCTCGTCGGTATTATTCTCGAACGAAAACGCATCCCCGAGGAAAGATAGAAAACCCGGCCAAAAAGTAGAGCGAAAGGAGACAAAAGTGAAAAAAGTGGCGGAGAATCGAAATGGGACTCGAGCTATCGAATGTCTCCCGGCGTGTCTCTTCGCGAAATGAAACGGTCGGGCGATATTTCCTCGGACGGGGGAATCTATGTGTACAGCGGTACACCGTTCGATTGTTCGTCGAGGACGTACCGCGCGGGACAATATGGTGGCCGCGAGTTTTCCATATTCGACGCGGTCGGTCTCGAATCCGAAATTCGGCGAGCAGCGAGTCCCTTCCGTTCTTATAGTCGGCCTGTTTTCCACCGCGTCTGCTTTCAGATGGACTTGATTCTTTGGTCGCACCCGGCCCACGTCGAGGCAGCTATTTCACAGGTAAAGAAACCGGTGACTGGGTCGGGGAGACGCGAGAACGCCGCACCGGAGAAAACGAAAAAGAGTTTCCAGCTGGAACGAACCGGGACCGCCTCCAGGACTGTCCTCCTTAATTCGCAAGTTGCGACGAGGGATCGACCCGTGGAACTTTCGTTTCACTCGGACCCGGACGGACGATCTCCCTTTGTCGACAAGAAAATCGGAAACATCGAAACGATCTCCTCGCCTCCGAGCTCCCGTCGATCCTCCGTTCCGAAAGCTGACAGAACAACGAGTTGTCCGGCAGAAGAAGAAAGCAATTTGCATTTAATTAAACTTTCCGCGAAGAGGCAGCTGCGCAGGGCATTTTTGTCCGGAAATTTCGAGCGGAACGCGGAGCGTCGATATTTTCCCGGACAGAGTTTTCCGAAACGGCGATCATTGAAATTCGAATACGGAAATGTATTATTGGCTGTTGATCCACAGCGTCGTGCGAATGGTACGACGGCCATTGATGGGTTCGAAACGTGCGATTCCTGAATCGAAGTTCCTCTTTAATTCATTGCTTCCTATGGAAACCGCGGCCGCGCAGCTTCCGAGGTGAACCGCTTCGATGAAAGGGGCGAGGAACGACCTCCCCAGCGAACCTCGGGACATTAACTAACTGTAAGTCGCCGATCAAGCGGGCTCCTTTATTTATTCGTGCGTGTGTAAGCTTCTATAATAGCTACGAAATCCGAAGAGCGTCGCGCGTTCGAGGGAGAGCGACGCGTGCAGAGCGAATCGGACGGGTCGCGTTGTAAAATAAAATCGCTGATCGCGTTTCTTCTCGTCGTATCATTCGAACGGTCTTGTTAATTAGAGACCGGTAATCCTGTATCTCGATTTAGCTGGTAGCGAACCGAATCTCGCGCGAAATTCGCCGCGAGATTTTCGACAGTGGGGAAACAAAAGCGCTAATCGACTGAACAACACTGAGCATACGGACGCGTATAATTATGTCCGTAGGACTCGATCGGCTTCAATCGATCCAATTAGTCTAGATCGCGTTAAGTCTCGTGTACGGTAGCTTTCTCGACAGGGCCTAGAATTCACGGACGGCCTCTGCTAAGTGTATTTTTCCAATTCTCCTCGTGCTTCTGTGTGCTAATCGCGAGAGTAACCGCGGCGCGATCGATTTTTCTCCTCGTCAGCGATATTTGGAAGAAGACGATTCGCTCGCGTACCCTAGGATAGGATTTTCTCGAAACTTCTCTCGCATACATTCGGTCGGTCAATCGTTTCTCCTCGAATTAACCCTTCGGGACACGCCCAATTCCTGGTTTCTCTCGACTCCTTCTCTCTGCGTTACAGAAGTTGCCATAACCTACCGATAATTTACATCTTTTTACATTTTTATAGCCACCTTTGATCGTAGAAACTAGTAAAGACGCGCGACGACCGAATAACGAAAAACGAAAAACGACGAACGAAATAAAACCACTGGAAACGATTAACAATGAAAGTCTGTGCGTTGCGCCGAAATCCCCGAAGGATTAACCAAAGGAACTCTCGCGCTCGACGACTCGCCGTCCGTTCGACGAGCTCTCGTTTCGCGTGTTAATCGTAAATCCGTTGAATTCCACCCTGTAATTTATAAACTAAGAGTCTGAGTGTACGTGTGTGTATGCGTGTGCGTGTGTACGCGGCGCAATCGGAAAGATGCATCTTCGTAAAAGTTGTCGAATTCGACGTACAGACCCGGTAGAATGTCGCGGACGATGCAATTCGTCTGCCGCGCGCCGTAACTCCTCGTTTCCACCGTGCTCGTCGAAGCGATCCGCTCGGCAAACAATGTACCATTCCGCGTCGGTATTTATTTTCGCACCGATGACTGTTCGCGCGCGACTGACGGAACGCATCGATTTTTTTTCGGTGGAACGTGTCCGCATGTAAATAGAAAAATGAATCGTCGGAAACGAAATATCTTTCTCATACTCCTCGATCGTAACGTACCGGCGGACCCCTGAAAAGCGATTCGGATTCGACGCCCCGAATCAACTTGTCGAATAAACGTTCGAACGTCCGCGGTGTATGCATCGCGAACAAAGAAGCAACGGATTAATTCCGCCGAGCCGAGCCCGGGGGAGACTTGGAATTACCCCGCGAGTTTCATGAAAACCGAACTCCGGGGCCGCGCCGCAAATCTCTATTTCAACGAGCATATTATCGCTAGGTCTTGCACGTGTACCGAGCTTCCAAGCGTTAATTCCATCAAAGCCACGTAACAATAATTTAATTTATCGTCGTCCTCTTTTTTCAACGATTCTTCGATTCCCTTCTTGATCATGTTCTTGTTCTTGTTCTTGTTCTTGTTCTTGTTCTTTTTCCTCGTCGGTTTTTCCTTCTCCGCTACCCCAGCGTCCCTCGGCCGTTGAAAACGAACGCCGAATTCCATCTATGCACCATCGACAACAAATTAAGGTAATTGGATTTGTTGAAAAACTGCACTCGATGTTTCGCAATGAATCGCGGAACGAAAGTCAGCGGTTCGTACGTGCAATTGAAAACTCGAGCTTTTCAGGAAAACGAGGGAATTCGAGAATTTCGGTTCATCGCGGCGCGATAATTAGCGAACTGTGTATTCATTCGCGTGTTATTCAACGAGATTCAGAATTGAACAGGGTCGAAATTTCTCTGCTATTGGTTTTCGTATGACAAGAATAAACTAAGTTCTTTAGTAATCTTCATTCGGGATTTTGTCTTGGCGTCGAACCAGCGAAGACTTTAGTTTTTCCAAATCTCGAGGTCGCATGTATTTTTGAACTCATTTCAGTTGCGCCCGAATTTCCAATTATGAGCGGCAGTTTTATCTATCGGAAAATCTTCTCTTGCTTCCGCAGATACTGCAAAACATACCTTTTTCCCCTCTGGCACCAGCAACTGCATATTCTCGTCGAGATTACGAAACGAAAAACAGCCGGGGTTCATAGATTCCTCTAATCCTCCGGCGAATATCGCTGATTCTTCCTCTGGTCGGAAATCGTCGTCGAATTCCAGCTTCCTCGGTGATTTTTCCTCGCTTTTCCAGTCGATTTTTCCTTTCCCTTTCTTTTTCTCCGGTGACTCGTTCCTCGTCGCTGGAATATTACCTTCGAGCGTGACCCTCGCTCGAATCCGAAAAGTCAGCGGACAGAGTCCCATGTTCTGGATCTGGAACGGGTTTCCCCGCGGGAAAAACCATGAGAAAACAGGTAGGTGGGCAACGATCGCCGGTGCGCCGATACCGAAGCTCGTCGTCGACGATTCAGCTTTAATTCGATGGAAACTTTATTACCCGTCGCCGGTGAATGATTTAGAAACCCAAGCGGAATCGAGAGACGAAGTTTCTGGTTTATTCAGCGTCCCGCGCTGGTGCGCGAGCACGCGGAAACTTGAGACGATTATGGGGAATATATCGTTAATACGGATCATTACAGAAATTTCCGTTATTATTCACAATCGAAAGCGATTGTATTATTACAAAGTTGCTACGCGTTAGAACGTCCATCTCTTTAAATTCGTTCCTCGTCAGATCCACGTTACTAACGTAAACTAAATTCTGTCACAGTTTCCGCGAAAGTGTCCCTAGTACTGCTATTTTCGGTGAATATTTCAATGCTGTCAGAAATTCTTGCAAACTTCGCCTGGCGGACGCAGCACAGAGAACTCTACGCTAGATCCCGCTATTGACATTAGAATTCCCGTGGACTGACACAGGATTCAAAAAGCTGTGTAACATTGTAAGCGCCGGAAAAGTATCTAGCGTAACGGTAGACGCGAAACAAAGGAAGCGCGACAGAGAAAGGACCGAGTCAAAGGAAAAGCGTGTAATGCCACGTGAAAGGCTATGCTCGAAGCAAGCCTGTGATATTCAAAAATGCCGAGTTTCATTTAGAAATTTTAGTTGAACTTTGTTGATCTCTGAGTCCTGACTAGAACGCCGTTGCAAAACGATTAAGCCCGACCTCACTCAATTACCTGGAGGATACGGCAAGGTAAATAGGGTGTAATGAAACGATACGAGCCGGCGAACCTTATTAATTAATCGTGGTTAGAGGTTGGCTAAGTTCTATGGATCGAGCTCATACGTTTGCCCTTTGATCTCCGAACGATCGGATTTGGGGATTCCGATCTAATCGGCGGAATTTATTTGTAATGCAAGCCTATTGCCGCCCTTACCGGACCTCGATCTTCCTTTCTTTTCACGCGGATTGGGTACAGCATCTATCGTTAAATAAATTCGAAACTGTTTTGGAAACACCAATGGAAAGGAATCTTAAGTGTTATAAAATTCTAAATAATGAAAACTCGGGAAATGGGGACAGGAGGAACAAGGTGTCTCTCGGGAGCAGCTGACGCTCGCCAGAGAAAATTCGGGAAGCCCGGATGAAACCGATCCTGAAAGTTTCACGGTCCCGTGGCCGTGCTCACAGATGCTGGAAATAGTTTGCCAAGTAATCTCGCGTCGCCGTTGACGAAGATGAAACTCTGTTTCGTCTCTCGTTTACTTGCGCCGTATCGGAACCCAAGATCCTTTTGTGAGATTCCCGAAGCGGAAGCATGGTGTTTTGCATAGGGATATCTACGCCGCCGCTGGGAAACCAGATAAAGTTGTATCTGACGGCCATTCACGCCCCATTTTCTCTTCGACTTTCGATTTTCGCCCCCGGCGAATATCTGTCGGATTTCCAACGATATTTTTCTACGCGACCGACGCTACGATCATCGTATCTTGCTAGCTTTTTCGGCAGACAGTATTATCAATTGTAGCATTCTAGATCACCAAACATTTTCTACAATTCATCGATACAGTATTTGTGTTTTATCTTTCGAACGAGGTATGTGGAAAACTGGTATATCAATCTAGGGGGTGGCCAGTGTTATTTAATGGAAGATGATCTAGGAGATGATCTAGAATCTACTTAAAGTCTCACTACTTAAAGTGGGGAAAGTCTATCGGTAAAATGGTAAGGGGACAAAGGACATATATTGAGACAAATGCGAAGAATAGCGAGTGATTTAATTAATTAAGATCGATCGGATCAGATGACATTATCGGGTGGTCTGAATCTCTTCGGTTTGCAGCCGACAGGCGTAATTATAATTCTAGAGAAGAAACGATATTACAGCGTGGGCGGTAATTAATGAATTCATGGTCGAATGACATAATCATGAATAATCGGCGCCAAGCTGGTTATCCTCGCGTATTAATCTTTTGGTGATCGTTGCACGAGCTTACACAATCGAGATTACAAATTTCGGATTAACTTGCGCGTGTTATCGTTTCTATGTTCGGGATTAAATACGCTCTGCAGTAATTATGTAGTTGCCTGTAACTCGTTTTCGTCGATAATTTTCCCGCCACTGTTCATTCATTCGCGGTAATTTATTGGTGTGTCGAAATTAAATAAAATTATCGTTAAATTTCGAAATTAATTGACATATAACGGATCTTCTCGTATTTATGACCCATACGAAATTGAAATATTCGAACAGATTTCGATTCCATTAAGCTCATATTCTAAAGATAATAAATTTATAATCTACTTATAGATTATAAAGTTATATTTAGAATTTTATACAATCAATATCGTTTTATCCTCGAGAGGTACCTGAAGAGTTCTCCCTTACTAACGAAGCAGTCGCTACCAACTACCGATATGTTCGTTCACGATTAGCAACGTGTGTGTTCTCGATGAAATGATTGTTTTAAAAAAGCTGAACGCTTTCGCTTTTCAATGTATGCGATATATAACTGATCGAGTGACGGGAACTTACAGATATCTCAAGTTCCACCGGCTTATCGTCGGTAACTTCGATCCGAGCGACTCTGAAACGAGGCTGGAGAACATAAGATGGCACCACTCCTCGGCCACTGACTTTCACACGCCACCTTGTCCTCGTGCTCGAACTGGACACCTCGAAAAACTCCTGAATCAAATTGAAACCGGCAAATTAATCAAACTTTTTGTCAATTAACCAAGTGAAACTGTAGAGAAGTTCGCTGATATTTGTTCGATCGTATTTTATCTTCAACTGAAGCATTGGGCTGTTAACTTTACACGAATCGTTCTTTCTACATAATAATTTCACGATTTTCTTTACCGATTAAAACTTTAATTAGTCGTGGGAATAAAAGATTCAGTGACACGAACCGAATTTGTATGCACTCATCGATAGATGTCAAATCGAATCGTATCGGAAATTTTCAAATTGCCCTCAAGCTCGAATAATCTTTCTGTCGGACTTCGAAACGTGAATTAGTTAAACACTCCGAGTTAGAAGTCATCGAAGGATACTGCGATGCCCTGGAATTCCTCCACAAAGTCCTTCAAAATTTGTCGTTGCTGTATGAAATGGCGATGCAAGTGTCTAGTCCCTCGGCAAGGCAAGCCTTTGCCGCCATTCAACAGCGGATTAAAACGAGACGCGAACATTGGAATGCATCCAAAATTTTATCAGGCTGCATCTGATGCACCTGGTGTAGGATCATACGATCTCCCAGCGTTGAGTACAAAATCTACTGCCCGGAAGTACGTTCTCTCTACGACTGTCCCTAAAATGAGTATCAAAGGGCCGAAAGGTTTACCTCATTTGAAACATTCGTTTGTAATAATTAGCTGGAAGAAAGAGTTAGAGACTGCAGAATTTTCAGCTACAATGGGAGGACGACTTGTAGAAAAATACACGGTCGACAGAGAACGAATGAAAACTGGATTGGGGCCCGGGATCCACGAGATCTCTCAATGGCCTGAGAACATCCTGGAAAAATCTTGTAAAACTATTCGGAGGGACGCGGATTTTGGAACTGTTCATCGGTTCAAGCCTGATATAAAGTCTGCTACCCCTGGACCAGGTGTACATCGTAACGAAGGCTATACCTAATTAAAAACTTGGAAAATTTACATTTTCTCTTCAATTTTAAATAACCACTCTCGCGACGGATATTTTGACACGTTGATTTATCGATGTAGGCTACACGAAGAAAAATCCCTATCACTATCTCGATGAAAATAAACGAAGAGGACTTTCCTGTGTACCCTCTTTCGAGTACGACGGCTTGCGACCTAGATTCTCCACCATTTTGAAGCCCTGGAGTTTACCCTGCAATTTGTATGCAGTCGCTATCTTCCAAGTCATTTCTCAGAAGACAGTAGTTGCTCGGAAGTAGATAGACTTAATATATCGTCTAATTAGGTACAATGCGAAGTATCCGGAAACTCTTGAGGCATTCTTGAAGAAAGTTACCGGGAAGAGGGGACCCTACGATTTGTTCACAGGTGTCGGAGATTAAGAATGCAGATTAAGCGGTGCAGTCGTCTATAAATCGCGTTCGTTCCAGGTCCAAGGGACGAGAGAACGCTGATAGGCTATCAGAAGTCTATAAAGTTGGAAGATCGCGGCGAATGGCCTAAATCGTTGCCAAGCGAGCTGGATAAACTGTTGCAAAAGTCCAACTACTTTAAAGGACGCTGGACTACTTGTCCAAGGTAATTGCAACAGACTCGTCAACTTTATTCCATACTCAGTCGTTTTTCCCAATAGATTTCCTAAAAAATCAGGGTTGAGGTTGATGCTACAAGATCTTGCGTTGTCCTATAAGGACCCTAGTCACCCAGGACCTGGCCACTACAACCCAAAATCCCCTGGGAAACCCAAGAACGCGAAGAATTATCCATTTAACAGCAACGTCGACTTCGTCAGGCCAGGTCCTCCATTTGAAATTCAGCCTGGACCAGGAAGATACAGGATTAAAGAGACAGAGAAGATACGAGGACACGGTTGGACTTGGGTGTTCAAGAGCAAGGCGCCGAGAACGAATTTTCTTATCACGCGATCTTATAGGAGTTTTTAATCTAACGTATCTACATAATCATATTCAGATCAGTCCTGGAAATTATCTGACTCTTTTCAGACTGTCGACAATGGAAATGATATTCAGGAAAACTAACTTGTTCTTCCTGATCGCGGAGAGGTCGGTAGGTAACCGGAATTTTCAGAATCGAGCCAGTTTCGATCGTCTTCCCTGGAGGCGCGAAAAAAGATCCATGCGGATCTAGCAGGCTCACATCTACTTTGATACTCCTGAATAAAATATAAGTTGTTTCGTGCATTCGTCTTTAATTCACGATTACTTGTACGTACTTATTCGAAATATTTTTAACCATCAAAATTCTCCTCGAAGATGTGCCAATCGCCGTCGGTCCGAATGAAATATCGTGTTCCCTGTTCAAAATCACGATTTCCGGTCTCGTGACAGGGCACACTAGCTTCAGAAACAATAATTCATTTCTCTTCGTGCCATCTTTCATCTCCACATCGATTTCACATGTCACAAAAATCGTGGAGATTCCGGGCTCGAAGATTTCGAATAAAGCTGCTTTGTCTGGCAAATGATCGATCTCGGAGATCTCATTTTTATCGGTCTTCTCTCTCTTCTCTTTCCTCTTTTTCCCTGTGGGCGGAGGTCATGTTTAAATCCAGCCCTGAAAATAGAAAACTTCAACCCTTTGTATTTACTTTTTCCCTCCTTCCGTTTCAATTGATCTTTTCCCTTTGATTCGTCTGGTTTCTCCGGTTGTTCGATCCTCGGATCGCTGCTCGACAACTTCGGCTCGAACACGAAGTAAACTTTGACGGACTGTTTACCGAGCAAAACTCCACGCTGCGGCGTCATTCTCACGCGATCGGAGGAACTCTTGAACTCGAAGCGAGCTGAGAACTCCTTCTCCTGGTTCTTCAGGATCCCACAAGTACAGCGCGGGTACGAGGCCATGTTGTAGCCTCGAAGATGCACGGAGACCTGAGTCAATTTATTATTCATTAGGCGCGACGTCTTTCAAACTGTCAAAGCGTCTGTCTCATTGGAACATGCGACTTGATCCCCTACCATGGAAAAAGAGCCGCAAGGTGTTGCAGGAAACTCGAGGATCTGTTCGCTCATCTCGCAGAACGTGTCCACGATGCGAACGTGCACGTTGATCACGTTCTTCTCTATCCTCCTATCATTTTGGAGTAATTTCCTTGGCTCCTCGGTCTCTTCAACATCTAAAATAATGTACACAGCAGCCCGTGGAGCAACGGTCTTTGAAAAATAATATTATTTTTAATTAGTCTAGAATGATAGAATATTGTGTTTTCTATCTTCCATACGCTTCGAGATTATGAAGATTGTATACCCAAACCTTTCGCAACCACAGAAAGATCACTGATCGCTGAATCAGCAAAATGACTGGAATCCTTGTCATCTTCATCGTCCGTCTTCGGCATCGTTTCAACTGATTTCAGATCAACGGGCGGAGGAAGACCTCTGTTTCGCGAGCTTGGCTCCTCTAGATCGTAAAGATCCCTTAGTTCGCTAATTGTCATTGATTTCTTATGCGAGGCAAGCTCTGCCAGTGTGACGACTCGCACCTGAAACCTGGGTAGGGAACTTTTCCTTCGGTCAACAGCGAAAGGGGCTGTTCAATACGAATCCGTATAGTTAATTAAAATTTAATAACCTTCGCTCGCCGGCCAGCCCATTCGCTCCAATCTCATTCCCAGGGATGTCGGATGAACGTGCTGAGTAAATCAGGTGGAGCTCGATAGTTTCGCCAGGTAATATTGCCCCGAAACCGTCGTTCGGCTGGATCTCCATGAACGCCGGTGAGAAGAGAAAAGCGTACTCTTGAATTAACAGGGAGTCATTGGTCAGCGTTAATTCGGAGCGGACCGACTCGTGCGTGTGAACGATACCAAGATCGATGCTTGCTGGTTCTAAAGGAACAGTATCTGTGTGCTTAGTTTCTGATTAGTTTCTTATTCAGTCAGAATCTACCTAGAATCAAACCACGACAAGTGGTCAAACTGGCGAGGACTTTCAAACACAATGGCGGCGGTTTCTCCTCTTCTCGAGTTACGGCTTGCACTTGCAACGAAAATTCCAGCATGCTGGATACAGGATCGTAATAGCTGAAAATTTTATTTCAACCCGTCATCACCTTTCTCATATTCTACAGCCGCGATAAATAAGTGTGTAAGAAACTTCCGAAAGAAATCCATTTCTTTACTTTTTTACTAATCATCTACCTTATTCGGTAACTTTGATCTAATCGTTTCAAGTACAAATTATTTCCGCTTATGTAACTGCAGAAAAATGTTTCATAGCAACAAAGTAGCTAATCGCGAAAGAATTTTTATTCGTAGCAAGCCTTTATTGTTTCTCGCATGGTAAAAAAGTCGTTGTTACCGGCCAGACAGGTGCAGGATGGAGGATTCAGGTATCAACCTGACGCTGATCGTAGAAAATCCTTCGGGTTGCAGGATCGTCGATCTAGGTTGAACCGTTACCTGATCCCCCAGGCTTTTTGGAGTTTTCATGGAAATCTGAACACTGGAGCGCCCTACGATTCTCGTTAATCTATTTCTATTACTTTGAAAGAACATCTCAAGTATTACCATTATTAACAACATTAAAATTCTGTTGGCAAACGTCGGCATCGATCATGGCAATACCAAGATCGATACAGGGCGGATCCAGATGGATCTGCGAACCAATCACTTCCGCCCAAATTGGAACCGCCTAATGAAATGAACGATTGCATAAAATGAAACGTCTTTTCCAATACTGAAAATATCAGTTCACGAGAAACCTGTGCGCCAAATATTCGGTCGTCGTTAAAAAACTGAATCTTCACGACTTCGTGATGCAATCCAATGTGTCGTGGCCGAAAGATAATCTTCAAAGGACATTTGAATTTCGGCGGTAGTTCAATTTGGAAGGTTTTACGAGGCGTATCTACAGAATTCTCGGCATCCTCGTTATTTTCGTTGTCGCCTAAAAGGTGTATCGAATCGTAATGAATCCTACAGCCGTTTATCACAGCTATTGACTCGGCGGAACGATTTCAGGTACTTGAACCGACGCGAAGAACAGAAGGAGACGCACTCGGCACTTCTGTTTGGTCGCACTGCCAAAGAAAGCAATCTTTACGGTCGTCTCTTTCCCCGATCAGCACGGAAAAGGATTTTCGGCCTTCGTTCGAGATGCTGAGCGTCTTCTCGCCGAATTTCGGGTCGTTGAATCTCCAGGCTGGAGCTGCCGGGAACCTGCAAGTATAATTACTCCTCTTCACTTGTTCTCCTGTGTCTATTTCAAACCCTTTGCCATCCAATTTTCAAGCCAAGTGGCCGAGAAGCTTCGAAATGTTTGTTTCTATCACTTGATTTCCGTAGGATCCAGAACAGGTTCAGCTGTTTCAGGTTTGCAAACGACCGGGATACGGAATTCATGGAAAGTTTTCGTATTATCGGGATTCAATGTGAGAAAAGAAATCTCCGCAGTCACTTTCTCGTCGTAGACCGGAGAAAATTTCACGTTGATCGTCGCGTGCATTCCGGGTTTGATTCTCGCGGCGTCCATAATGTCGATCTGATTTAAGAAGTTTCCCACAATATTTGTTTAACGCGAGGACGCTTTTGAAATCCGTAATTAAGATACTTCGATGATCCCTGGTTCCCAGACTTCGGTGTACACTCTGTTGAATCGTAGGTACGCCCATTTGAAAGTTTTGTTAGCGATCAGAACCTTTCTGGAATATTTCGTGCCGACTTTGAAGTCCTAATAACATATAATATTCATTATTTTTTCCATGTTCCTTTTTAATACGAGAAAATTAATTTTCATTACGTCGAATGTGATCAGATTTGGATTGGAGAAAAAACAGTTGTCTTTTGGGAAATATTCCATTATAGAAGACTCGATTTTCTTGATCGATATGGCTTTCCCAAAGTTATTATCATCCGAGGACATTCTTTCCCCTCTATTAGTATCCTCGATCTTTTTTAGATCTTTTAACTTTTCTATTTCAGTAAATTCCACGGTGCCTTCTTTAGCTTTTAATATTTCTTTGGCTTCCTAAAAATGATTTCTGTTATTTCCTTTAATTACGTTACGTTAACATTACCTTCACTTCAAGTTCTGTTTCAAGATTTTCCGAATTCCGTTCACCGGCTAATGTTTCTTCTGTAGGAAACTTTACAGTACTTTCCTCGCCGATGCTGTCCTTTGAAACTTTCTTCAAACATTTCACCTTCCTCGGTTCCATTTCTCGACTAATCTTCTCGATGATCTTAATCATTCTCTCCTTACGAAGTTTTATCTGTTTCCTCTTCTCGTGTTTGTATTTCAAAATCTATTACCCCAATTTGAATAGAAATGAGACTAACTTTATTTCTCTGAGAATCAAGCATTTTTAGTACGCGGAGAAACTGACTTTATCGAACACCATGGAATCTAGTGGTAGAATTTCTGGAATTTCGAATTCCGACATTATCCTGCAAACAATCAGGTCGTAGTAATTCATTTTTAGTAATGAGATGAAAACATTATCATGAAATATCTTTCAAGTACCTCATAACATTCTTTAAACGAGCATTCTTGCGCATAATCGCTCTTTCTTCCCAGTGACACGTGAGTCTCCATTGTTGATGCAACAAGCTTGTCTGTAACATTTTTAAATTAATTATCCCAGTTCATTAATTCAGTAAAAATATATTTTACCCTCAGTTTTAACAGAGAAGCAAAATATTTCTCCTTTCTACGTTGCTGTGAAATTGCTTCTCTTCCCTCTGCTACATTTTTCTGACGAATTGCTTTTAACTTCGATAATTTTGTAACTCTGCAACCTACATCGAAGGAAGAATATTCATTGATTTATTACTAATTAAATAATTCATTTATGTTACCTGCACGTGTATCAGACTTTGTCGAGACTTCCAACTCTTTCGATTTTCTTCCCTTGCCCGCTTCTTCATCGACTTCGGACTACTTACAAATTAGCGTGTAATCAAATCTCTAATCATTTATAGGAT